GACCGAAATCGGTCCGAATATAAAAATGAAATTTCCTATTTTCTAATGGATATATACAGATCGAAGCCGGTCTGTATATATTTATTTAAATAATATTTTATTCATATATTTTTATTTAATGTTTATTTTTTTCAAAAATAATATTCGGATTGTTTTTGGTCTGAATATTATTGGCGCTTTTATACTGTGGATTCCTGCTAGAAATATACAGACCGATACCAGTCCGAATATGTTCAGTAGTATATTTTGTACGACCTGAATATATTCGGATCGATATTGATTCGAATATTTATTTTTTCGGACCGCCACATTTGGTCTGTATATGTTCAGTCCGTATACGTCATATTTCTAGTAGTGGAAGAAGATGAAGACGCAACTAGTCTCTATCCATGAAGAAATCCAGGTAATGACAGTACTATAGATGATGTACTTTTAGTGAAGTACTTAGTTGGTGTACAGTAGTAATAAACTAATATACCAAAAAGAAAACCTAGGAAAACTTTGAAACCACAATGGTATCATAATTCTCAAGTTCAAAGTTAGTGTCTGTTTGGATTGAGGAATTTAGAGGATAAGGGAAGGAAAGTGAGACATAGATGTCATGAGAGGACGAGGTAGAGAAAGAAAGCGATGTAGAAGCACGACTGCACAGGATTCAAGGCGATTAAGCTAACGGAGCTAAGGCCGTTGACTTCAGATTGACAAAGACTGGACAAGAAGACATATATAGATGCAACTCCATATTTTTTCACTAATTTCCCAGAGGATTGGGGTTATGAGCAGCTATGGAGGTTGTTCAAGAAATATGGACGAGTGTCTGAAATACACTGCCCAAAAAAGAGAAACAAGTGGGGTAGGCATTTTGACTTTGTGAGATTTCAAGATGTTGAAGACACCATAGCATTGAAGAGGGTCTTAGATAATATACTGATTGGAGACCAAAAACTATATGCCAATCTCCAAAAATTTGACAGGAAGGATAAGGGATGTCGAGGCAAACTTGAAAGAAGGATTGTTGATATTGGGAAAGTTAACAGTCGAGTAGGGAATTTAGAGTAGAAGACACAAAGAAGCTATGCTGAGGTGGTGAGAGGTAAAGGAGTACACGAGAGCTTAAGGATACATGGGAAGTTTGCTCAGCCAGAACCTGGGAAAAAGGGAGAGTGGGTATGGAGAAAAAAGACACAGGTTACAGAAGAGAGTGTGATTTGGAGATTCAAGTGAAGGAGGAAGATATGATGTGGCTTAAAGGTTGTTATGTCAGAACAGTTGACAACATTGAAAGTATTCCAACATTGCAAGACAAATTTCTCATGGAAGGCTACTTTTCATGTACTCTAAGACCAATGGGGGGGAAACTTGTTCTGCTAAGCAGTGATGACAATGAAGAATTGAATTTTTTAGTAAAAAATGCAAAAGATTAGCTTGGAAGGTGGTTTGAGCAAATTAGGCCATGGTCTCCTGCAATAGTGGCTACAGAGAGATTAACTTGGATCAGATGCCATGGAGTACCTCCTTATGCGTGCAATGTAGATTTTTTTCAAACTTTGAGTACTTTATGGGGAGATTGGATCATGCTCGACAATAGCACCAATCGCAAGGAGAGATTGGATATGGCAAGATTCATGATTTCTACATCCAACTTAGAGGTGATCTCAAAAGTATTATAGGTTAAAATTAATGGTATGTTTTATTCCATCAAAGTCGTGGAAGAAGAAGCTGCTAATTGCCTTTTTAGCATGAGGTCTGATGGAGTTTTGGCTTTCAACTCAATCAGCGATGAAGATGAGGATATATCATTGTCAATTGAAAACTCAGAAGCCTAGAAAACCAACCAAGAAGCTGTAGATGACAAGATGGTGCAATGGGAAGGCGTGATGGAAGAAGATGATGAGTTGACAAAAGAACAGGCCGCAGAGGGGCTAGGTTCAAAATATTCAAACGAGCAGGAAATTTTGAAAAGGTTTCAAGAATGTTGAAGCATGGAAGCCTCCAATTTGGTGATTAGTCCCTGAAAATAACGTTGGGGGGTTAAAGGGGTTGACATTGGAAGCACAAAAAACGATGGATGAGCTGGAAACAAGCAAGGTGGAGGAGACAAGATCT